AAATTTTCATAATTGTTAAAAAAAACCTGTAAAAAACCCTTACATAATAAATTTTATATGTAGTCGAAACTATGATTTGATTTAATTAGTTTGATGATCACCCTAGTGGAACACCCCAATACATCACATTGGGAATCAGAAATCTAGAAAAAATGCCAATACGTGATTGGCTAAAAATTATTTTTGACCAATCACAGGTTTGCATTTATTCTAGATTTCTGATTTCCGATATGATCAGTGGACACAGTAATTTGAAAAGCGCAATAATTCGAACTTGACTAAAAATTTTGTCCTATATTTTAGATTCATTTCATTTTCCACCTCGAATGCTACAATCCTAGCAATAAAATCGATCAGCCAATTTTAAAAAAATCGACCGGCTAAGCCGATAATTTGATTTTTTCACTATCGGCCAAGATCACTAATTGCCGTAAATATAGTTTTTAAATATCCGAGTTTCAAAACATGAAAAAAAAATTTTTTTTTTATAATTTTTGTGCTTTTATAATTAAGGCAATTCCAAGTTAATATTTTTGTTTAACTGTTAAACAAAAAATTAATTTGGAATTGCCTTAATTATAAAAGCACAAAAATTATAAAAAAAAATTTTTTTCAATGTTTTAGAAACTCGGATATTTATAAATTATATATAATACGGCATATATTTTTTTTTAAAGTTCGCAAAATCGATCCGACCGACTTAAAAAAACCAACAAGCCAAATTTGTGCTGCCCTAATTAACAAAATGCCACTGGTTCCTGCACCACCACCGGCAAGATATACTTACTTAGTGTCTCGGTAATTCATATGAGAGGCACTTCATTTAATTTAAATTTTTTATTTTTTTACTTTTAAAACTAATACCTAAATTATGTGTCAAATTTTTTCATAAGACGTGGTGACCTTGCACTCTCATTTCTGGCAGGTTCGCTTGCGTTTTACTTCGCTGGGCCATCAATCGATGATTCGAGAACAAAAATCCCCGAAAAAAGTTTATGGAATCTAATCAAAAGGCGGTGTAAAAAAATAGTTAAAATTAATTAGCTGCTCATTCACACACACACACATATATATTTAATAAATAACGCTATAGCGAATATATTCATTAAAACGGACAGAATTTCGCCCGATCAACGAGGGTAGACGGATTTTTGTGTAACATGCATAGTATAGTACTGCGGCAACAGTCTAATTTCGATAAAAAAATTTAAGTCTTATTATTTTTCGAGTTATGAAAAAAAAAGCCTCCTATTACATTAAAATATACTATCCACTGAACTCTCATGCGAATTTCTAACTAGTTTAATATTTAGAATATCGAGAAGATACAATTTGAAGTTGACGATTTTTTTTAGAAAATTTCCATATTTCAAATTGTATCTCCTCGACATTCTACATATTAATCTAATTAGCAATTTCGCATGAGAGTTCTGTGAGTAGTTGATTTTAATGTAATAGTGAGCTTTTTTTCATAGCCCGAAAAATAATACGACGACTTGAATTTTTATCGAAATTAGAATGATTAACGTGAATATAATAATTCAGATTATGAAAAAAAGCTCTATTACATTAAAATATACATTCCACTTAGGGTTGAAAATTACCTTACATTTTCATGTAATTTTGTGTAATTTTGCGAGTTTCAAACCTTTTACTAATTACATGGAAACCGTTTTACAAAAACCTACACAATTTAACAACCCTAATTCTACTAAATAGATCAATTTGAGGTTGGTAGGAAATTGCCATATTTAAATTGTATCTCCTCGACATTCTACATATCAATCTAGTTAGAAATTTCGCATGAGAGTTCAGTGGATAGTATATTTTAATATAATTAAAAGCTTTTTTTTTATAACTCGAAAAATAATAAGACTTAAATTTTTATCGAAATTATGCTGTTGCCGCAATATTATAATATGCATGTTACACAAAATCCACTTTTCATATAGAACACCCAATATAGCCAATAAAAAAGGGCTGCATGCTTCGCCACAGTCATTTTCATATAAATATGTAAACAGTCTCGGGCTTTTTCGCGGATACTAACATAGATCTTCGTTTGATCGCTCCATGGATTACGGATCTGCTCAAGCTAAAGATTTCTCTTATTCATTTTGCTTAACAAAAGACTTAGAACTCCCTCTCACTGTGCGAATGTAGGTTAAATGACTGATTTCAGAGAAATGTTAACATCAAAGCAATTCACACTTATAAATAATTCACACGTTTTTAGCTCGAGTCTTGAGGGCATTCGTGAAAAGAAATCTTTTACCACTATACTTAGTGATCCGTCTCTCAAATTTACTGGTGTGCAAACAAGGTATTTTTTACGAGCAAAAGTTTTTAATGTTCAAATAGTTTAGCATTAAAATTTTCCAATTCTACTATTAGCAACTTTTCTGATTTATATGTGAGCATTCAACTATACGGTGACAACAAGCCGCTTACTGTTCCAATTAGAACTTCATTCAAAACATTCAAGAATAATTGGATGTATGTATTAAATATGATTCTTGATTCTTGTTATGATATGAATTTTAACATTATTTGAAAAAATCTCAGTTGGAACGAATGGCTCACAATTCCCGTGAAGTATCGTGATCTTCCCGTTACTTCTCAATTAGCATTAACAGTGTGGGATGTTTACGGTCCGCGCAAGGTAGTTCCAGTGGGTGGCACCACTTTTCGCCTTTTTGGAAAGCACAAGTAAGATAATATTGATGCAATAGATCGAGGAACGATACTATAATATTATGATAAATAGATGAATGACTGATATACCCATGTAGTACTTTGCGAAAAGGCAAGCATAAATTGTATCTTTGGCCAGATGTGGAAGCTGATGGTTGTGTGCGTACAACCACTCCCAGTAAGGTTGGTGACAAAACTGAAATGGATCGATTGGAAAAGGTACAACCTATACATTATTTTATATAATACGAGATTAATTATTTCATCCAGTTTACGATATTGATGTTGTTACTCAGTTGGTCAAGAGATATGAAAGGAATGATATGGCGAAGTTAGAATGGCTTGATAATCTTGCATTCCGTCAAATTGAGAAAGTACATAAGGTATGGATGTGAGTGATGATTTATTCAGAAGATATATTTGTGGTTAACAAGGTATTAATTTACTTCATTAGCAAGAATCATCAAAATCAAAAAACTTATATTTGTATATCGATTTGCCAAAATTTGACTTTCCAGTAGTGTTTAGTGAACCTGTAAGTATGAAATGGTTAAGTTATATATATATATATATATATATATATTTCATGACTAGGCTTTTTTTTTAAAAAGGATTATCCACTGCCAAGCATCACACAGCCACCAGTGGTAAACAATGGTCATGGGCAGATTAATACAGTCACAACTTCGAGTGACCCGAACATAATTCTCATTGTTGATCCAGAGATTTCACGTGAAAATCCAGTAGAGGCAAAACATAGACGCTTGGTGAGAAGCCATCGTAATGGGCCATTTGATCGTGATATGAAACCAAATGCGAAAATTCGAGATGAATTAAATGTAGGGTTACAAGATAAAATGTTAATTAATTGTGAAGACAGATGGTCTGGCTTGTATTAACAAGTACATCATAATATTTCTTTCTATAGGGGATATTAAAATATCCTCCAACACAACCCCTTACTTCGGAAGAAAAAGACCTACTCTGGAAATTCAGATTTTATCTTACTCGTGAGAAAAAAGTAAACATGGACAAAATCTATTATACTGTAATATAAAAATTTGCTGACCTTTTCTTTATTTAGGCACTTACTAAATTCTTAAAGTGTGTTGTCTGGACTGACCCAACTGAGGTAAAGCAGGCTGTTGAATTATTACCTCAATGGGCTGATATAGACTTGGATGATGCTCTTGAACTATTGGGTGCTAATTTTGAGAACCGGTCTGTTCGTGGATATGCCGTCAGTCAATTGAAAAAAGCGGATGACGAGGTTGGCATTGTGATTATTTAATAAGTTTATAATTGAATTGATTTTTTTTTTTTTAATCTGAATCAACTATCAAATATCAGGAACTGTTATTATATTTGTTACAGCTTGTTCAAGCTTTAAAATTTGAAAATATTAGTGATAAATCTAGCACATCACATGAATCTAGCTTGGCGGAATTCTTGATTGAAAGGGCGATTAAAAATCCCATTTTAGGGAATAACTTTTATTGGTAAAAATTTGATTATTATATTGAATAAAAATTTTTTCGGTCATAAATAACAAATTAATGATACATTTATAGGTATCTCATGGTTGAATGTGAGGATAAAGTAGTTGGCAAAATGTATGGCAAAATTTCTTTTCAGTTCATGAAAGCCATGAAGGAGGTATTCGTTAACCAGTACCTAGTTTTGTTTTTTACTAATTGTATTACCTGTTTTCTCACAACTTTTTTATATATTTTAGATCCCTACAGGTCTCGATCGACGAGATATACTTCGTCGGCAAGGAGAGTTAGTTGTTGCACTTTCGTCTATATCTAAAGAAATTCGCATGATGAAAGAAGCTAGACCTAAAAAAGTATTTACTTTTAATTCTTGTGCAGTAACTTGTGATATTATTTCTTGATGATATCTAACATAAAAAATAAATAGATTGAAAGACTTAGGGCAATAATATCAGATCCTAAAAATGGCTTATTGCAATTTCCACCTTTGCCTTTACCACTTGACGCCCGTGTAGAAGTTACTGGTATCATTCCAGGTCAGTTTATTATCTTAGCTTGTATATCGTATTTAAGGCATCATATTGAATCTTACTGTTTTAGAAAAAGCCACGGTATTTAAGAGCAATTTGTTCCCACTAAGACTGACTTTTACACTAGCTGATGGTGGAGAGTATCCAGTAAGAATAAACAAAGAATTGTACCTTTATTACGTGTATTATTTGTAAGCTTTGTTATCAATTTTCCATTTATTAGGTTATATTTAAAACTGGTGATGATCTTCGTCAAGATCAACTCGTCATTCAAATTATCACGCTTATGGACAGGCTTTTGAGAAAAGAGAATTTAGATCTCAAATTGACACCCTATAAAGTTCTGCCCACTGGTTCAGATCATGGTGTGATGCAATTTATCACATCATCATCATTAGCAAATGTTTTGAGTGAATACAATGGTAGTTTGTTACAGTTCTTGAAAGCACATCACCCTGAAGAGAAGGCAGTGGGAACATATGGAGTTAGTCCTGCTGTAATGGATACTTATGTGAAAAGTTGTGGCATGTATCCATCAGTATGATTTAGTTGATATTGTCGTAAATTAATTGTTGCACATACTTCTTTTTACAGCTGGGTACTGTGTTATTACATATTTGCTTGGGGTTGGGGACCGTCACCTGGACAACCTGTTACTTTCTCCCGACGGTAGGAATTTAACCTCGTTTGCTTTATCTGTAAATTAATTTATACTAGCTAATATGATTTCGTATTTGTAGGAAATCTATTTCACGTAGATTTTGGATTTATCTTGGGTCGAGATCCCAAACCATTCCCACCACCTATGAAACTATGTAAAGAAATGGTGGAAGCAATGGGAGGCGCAAATTCAATTCATTATCAGAGATTTAAAAGCTATTGTTATATAGCGTTTAATATTTTACGCAAAAGCGCAAATCTAATTCTTAATTTGTTAGCGTTAATGGTTGACGCAAACATAACTGATATTAAAATTGAACCCGATAAAGCAGTTTGGAAAGTAAGTTTTCTGTCAATATGTTTGATTTTATAATATTTGAATTTCATTAATTTATATTAATCAATGTTATGATTAAAGGTCCAAGAGAAGTTTCGATTAGATTTGACAGAGGAAGAGGCTATAAAGTATTTCCAAAATCTAATTAATGATTCAGTAAGTGCACTATTCCCGCAAGTTATTGAAACTATTCACAAGTTTGCACAATATTGGCGGAGATAGTGCACGAATCTGGATATCTATATTTCTCTATAAATATATAAATTTATTATTTTGTGAATTTTGATTTAATGAATAAAATAATATACCTATAAACTGATAGCTTAAGCTATGTAATTGAATGAAAGAAAATTAATCTTGTCATTATTGTTATTGTCCTTAACTAACATATTGTCCATAATCAATACATATCAATGTTATTATTGTAATGTAACAGTCGATCAAGATGTCACACCTAATTTTTTATCATATGATTTTCATAAATTACACAAATCAACGAAATCACGATTTTAAAATTTTCACCCAAAGTCTTAGTCATAACATACAATGTTTTAAAACAAATAAGTTGCCCAGGGCTTCAACGAATCGAACAGTATGAAGAATGTAAAAAACTAACGTCACCTGGTAATGTGCGGCCCTTTCAAAGATAGGCAATTATTTTGCCTTCTTTCGCAAGATTCTTTTGGAGTTTTCAAGATCTTAACATGAAAAATAGCTAGTTAGAATTGCATGAGCGAGAACTTTCTATGAAATGCATCTTTGAAAGAAGGGTAACTTATAAAAATCTTGAGAAAATTAAGAAAAACTATTTTATACTATGAAGATTGCAATTTTTCTAATTAGGTTTTCTTTTTTTTTAGCATCGAAAATATAGCAAGCTAAAGTTATTTGGTGTTTGTATGTGGTCTCGGTTGAGTACTTATATAACAACAGAACAGGGGGAACCGTCACATCATTTGTAGATCTGTTACACAATTCATAAAAATTTTTTTTATATTGTTTTAAAGT